ATTTTTACAATAGATTTTAATTAACCCACTTGTTGGTCGCTGTTGTAGCTTCTTGTGCTATTACTCTGTTTTTACCCTCTGCTACAAACTTGAGCTGCGCAGTCTTGATCTTGATCGATGTTTCTTCTGCTCGATGAATAATGTCTGTGAAGTGATGACGTATTTTTGACAGTAAAGTTCCGTCTGTGAATTCGTATTCGTACTGATGAAAGCGTAATCGTAAATTTTCATTTCGTGATTGTAATTCATGACGTCGTAATTTTTTCAATTCGTATTCTGATGGATAAAATACACACAATATATTTTATGTACGACTGGACTCATTTGAGAGTTTACAAATATTTATTTTATGCGCAACTACAGCCAAATATGCACGGATTTCTATTTTATGCGCACGAATATTTTTGACAGCTTTCTTACTCCATAGAGACGCGTGTCCCTCCCATGATGCATTTCGAATAGTCCGTTTGTCCATACTGTCTATGGTTTGGACCCGAGTTCGCGTTCACACCAGAGAACTTGAAAACGCTTGAATCCGCACCAAAGTTGGTCATTTGGTGCGGATTCAAGCGAACCGAGACCACCTCTTTTTTGCGGTCTCGGTCCACTTGATTTGGTTCGGGTCCGAGTCCGATTGACGCTTTCACACCAACGCAAACGAACCGAACTAACCACTTTTGGTTCGAATGGACCGTTTGGTGCGCACCAAATACTGTCGGTGTGAAAACGCCCTTAAACAGGAAGTGCTTTATTTTAGGTCATTTCAGATCTGAGATTGTCATTCTCTACTGAATAAAAAATAAAAGTAGTAGCTGTTAACTTGAAAACTAGAGCATTTTGAGCTTTGGAGATGACAGACTAATAATAAAGGGTTACTCAAACACGTGTGAATGAAACAAAACACAACTCCAGGTCTGTTTTTGAGGAGGTAACAACATTCTAACATGGTGAAAATCTCACAAGAGTCAATCCTGTGTTATACAGACCTTTAAAGAGGAGACAGGATAGACTGGAGTGCAAAGTAGGTAAACAGTTAAACCCTATAATTACTCCTCACGCGATTAAATTGATTTACATACAAACATAATCAGGTTTCTGTACATGTTGCCATTATCCCAGAGTTCAGATCTGTAGGGCTCGATATTTCGCCTGTTACATTTCATCCTTAGCCCACATTCACACTGTTTAGTCACTGCACAAAGTGAGAGACACAAATGTTTTTCTGAGAGAATGCAGCTTTGGTCGGGCAGTGATTTTCAACCTTTTTTGAGTTGCAGTGTTAAAGATTCTGTGGGCCACCAGCTTATAAAGCATTACCACACCCATTTACTGTATTTTTCGGACTATAAGTCAGACTTTTTTTCATGGTTTGGGTGGTCCTGTGACTTATACTCCGGTGTGACTTATATATTAACATTCTCACATTGACAGCCGCAAGAGGGCGCTCTAGGTTTGTGTGCTAGTATCTGCTGCTCCTATTACTCCTGTACCACTGTCACTTCGCCCTCTACTGCGCATGTCTCCTGTAGAAAGAGCGTCTGTCCTGCTGCAAGTAGCGGAATTTGCAGCCAAAAACAGCAACTGAGCAGCAGAAATAAAGTTTGAAGTGAGCAAGAAACTTGTGAAGGACTAGTGGAGAGAGGGAATGGAGAACACAGCTTCATGGGAACCAGGCGGGTGCGCCATGTAACTTTCCTGGAAGTCACTAGATGGATCGACAACCAACCAGCCTGGACTTCAGTGACAACCAAAACCATCCTGTCCGGATTCAGAAAGGCCAGAATAATTCTACCTGGAACTGATGCTGAGTCTGACGAAAGCTACACAGAAGAGGAAGTGGCACTTTGTTTACCTCCAGAGGTTGTGAGATGAGCAGAAGTGACACAGAGGATGAAGAATTCAATGGATTTTGTGATTTGTAGTGAAACTTTGGTAAACTTAATCTGTTCTGTTCTTTATGCTATAGTTATCTGAATAACTGTTCATATACTGTTTAACTGTTTACATTAACAGCCTGTTGTTCTCTGTTGTTATTATTATAACTTGCCTTTCAAGATGAAATGTCGGTTCCTGGTCTCTGATTTTACAAAATACATTTCCCCCAAAAACTGCGACTTATAGTCCAGGGCGACTTGTGTATATTTTTTCTTCTTCATTACGCATTTTTTGGCTGGTGCGACTTATACTCCGGAGCGATTTATAGTCTGGAATATAAAAGTGTGGTATATAATGTGGTGAATAATGTCCACCACCGTGCCTCTGTCGGGCTAATTTGGAAATGGTCTTTTGTTTTCTTTTTACCTTCACTCAGGGCACTCCAAATGGTAAATTATTCTATTAAATGCCTGTGTAAAGCAGTCAACTCAAGACAAGATTGGACATTTTTTCAAAGCACACCTGGCAACACCTTAAGGCTCACTGCTGAAAATCATGGGGGTGGGGTGTTTATCCTGTGCTCTAAGTGGTTTAAAAAAGGAACAGCAATCTCAACTGAAGCTGGGTAGCCATAACTAGCAGCTTGTCAGTATAGACAGGTCATTCCTCATGTGAAAGCTCAGAACCTTCAGAGCAGTCACCGCAGAGACCTGCTCTGGCCCTGATTAATGATTGGCTGCAGGAGCTTGGCTTTGGTGAGTAGAAATCATCGTCTTTTTTAGGTTTGTTTCTAACTAGTTTTAACCGTGTGAAAAGGCAAAACAAATGTGAGGCTCAGTTCTGCTTTCTCATCAGAGCATCAAATGAAAATAACCTGCCTACAGTGTGTCTGTGCGTGTGTGTGTCTGTGCATGTGTGTCTGTGCATGTGTGTGTGTGTGTGTGTCTGTGTCTGTGTGTGTCTGTGTGTGTGTGTGTCTGTGTGTCTGTGTGTGTGTGTGTGTGTGTGTGTGTGTGTCTGTGTGTCTGTGTCTGTGTGTGTCTGTGTGTGTGTGTGTGTGTGTCTGTGTGTGCTGTGTGTGTGTGTGTGTGTGTGTGTCTGTGTGTGTGTCTGTGTGTGTGTGTGTGTGTGTGTGTGTGTCTGTGTGTGTGTGTCTGTGTGTGTGTGTGTGTCTGTGTGTGTGTGTGTCTGTGTGTGTGTGTGTGTGTGTGTGTGTCTGTGTGTGTGTGTGTGTCTGTGTGTGTGTGTGTGTGTGTGTGTGTGTGTGTGTGTGTCTGTGTGTGTGTGTGTGTGTGTGTGTGTGTGTGTGTGTGTGTGTGTGTGTGTGTGTGTGTGTGTCGCGCGCGCAAATCAACTCAACAATGATTATCAATAAAATCTATTTGACAGTTACAAAGAAAATAAAACAAACATGAATACATGATCACAGTGGATTGTTAAAGATAAGCTTTTGGTTGACTCTGCCTGTAATTTCTCTTTTTTTTAAATTCTTATCCATGTTGTTTATTGCACTCTGTAAAACACTTTCTGATTTTTTATCTGTGAAAGGTGCTCTATAAATATAGTCTTACTTACTTAATAAAAGTCTGCATAGAATTTGGTGAAAATGGTTTGTGCAATTACCAACTGAGGCCTACTCACACACAGCATACACACACAACATTCACACACAGCATACACACACAACATTCACACACAGCATACACACACAACATTCACACACAGCATACACACATTCACACACAGCATACACACACAACATTCACACACACACACATTCACACACGCATACACACACATTCACACACGCAACATTCACACACACACACGCAACATTCACACACAGCATACACACACAACATTCACACACAGCATACACACAAACATTCACACACACAGCATACACACACAACATTCACACACAGCATACACACACAACATTCACACAGCATACACACACAACATTCACACACAGCATACACACACAACATTCACACACAGCATACACACGCAACATTCACACACAGCATACACACACAACATTCACACACAGCATACACACGCAACATTCACACACAGCATACACACACAACATTCACACACAGCATACACACACAACATTCACACACAGCATACACACACAACATTCACACACAGCATACACACACAACATTCACACACAGCATACACACACAACATTCACACACAGCATACACACACAACATTCACACACAGGGTGAAGTGAAGTGCAAGGACACAACAACAGTAACTGCTCTCGGCACCTTGAGCGGAGCGTCTTTTTCATATTTCTGATGCACAGTAAATATATAAACTCTCGACCTGTACATAGGCATGTCTATTTTTGTCCTGTCTCTAAAATACATAGACACTCAGTAAAACCTATTGTAGGCCCATTACAATGTGATGGAGGGACCCGGCAGCACCGCTGAGACTGAGTGAGTGAGTGTACGTCAGTGCAAAGAGGTTACAGGAGATTGATGAACTAGTGAGCAGAGGGAAGGAACACTAATGGAGTTAAAAACAGGCTATGATTGACATGCTGCATCAGGTGATTGACAGAAGACACAAGTGGCACTAATGGGTACATACTAGCCCATGTGTGATCTGAATTCTCAAACTTTAGAACTCGAAACCTTTTATCAGGATGTATTTGCATCATTTTCAAATCCCCTTCATTGCTCTAAAAAGAGGAAGAAGCTACTTCTCATGAATGTCAAAAAGCATCAGTCAAAAATATTCTTTAAAAAGTAACTTGTGGGAAACAGGATGTCTAGGCTATGTTTAGTGTAGCCTGCGGACACAAGTCTACAGCCTTTGACAGACAAAACAAGGACCGTGCTCTGGTCTGTAGCCTTTTTTGTTGTTTTGTTTTGACCAAGGAGGGGCCAGCCCGTGGACCCCATTTTCCCCGAAAAAAAGAAAAAGAAAAATCCAAAGAAATGTGTGTGGTTCTTAATCTTTTTGGTAGCAGGACTCAGAGCTCAGTGATGCCCGGGTTTAAGGCTGGTGTCAGTCAGAGCCGGCCCCCTCCCCTTCTCTCGCCCTATCTCTCTCCTCCTAAAGCCGTGCGTTTCCACGCGGCAGGCAGTCGTTAACAGGCGGCATGATATCTCTCCACTCGTGTCCTAATCTCCACCTAAAGAGTCCAGATAAAGCACGAGTGTCCGTGCCGTGGCAGCCGCGCGGAAGGCAGCAGAGAGAAGACAGCGGGGGAGTCGGAGTGAGTGAAGGAAAAGAATGATGAAAAGGGGGAGGAGAGCGGCTCATTCCGGCTGGCCGCCCCTGCTGCTCTAAAAACACGAGAGAGAGAGGAGAGAGAGGAGAGAGAGACAGGAGAGAGAGGGGAGATGGCAGAAAGCTTTAGCATCCAAAACACACGGGAGTGGTGCACCACCGAGAGCGGAGCCCCGGACCCACCCGAAGCAGCAGCGACAGCATCAGAAGCGGCGGTCCTCCCGCACCGCTCCTCATCGCACCGCGCCGCCACCGCCACGGCAAGAGGTAAGCGCTCTGCCCGCTCATCTGTTTTACCACAAACTTTAACACAATGCATGACAAACTCTCAAATATTATTTAGCTATTTGGTCCCATGGTGATGTAATCAAGACAGGAGCCGCGTAAAGGCGCTGATCATTCATCCGCCGTAACTCCGTTTGAGCCTGTAGTTAGTTGGAGGCTTCGCGTTTATCCATTCTCCATTCTCCATATATATTTGTATCGCATTTTGTCGTGAAACTTTTAAAGCTTTTCTGTGTGCAGCTTTAAACTTCACTTTCAATAGACTACAAGGCCAGTCTTTAAAAGTCATTTTTATTTAGGCTTAATTAGATTCCAGAAAACCATGATGAAATATTGATAAATAGCTCCTGTTTTAACTCCTGAACCTAAGTTCAATGACTTCAGTTTCGAGTCATTAGTTGTAGCAACCCTTGGAGGTTTGTTAATACCCTGAAATGTAGGCTAATATTTGCTTTTTACCCAGAATCAAAATACTACAAATCATGACAAATGTGTGTTTACATTGTCTAAATACTGGCCTGATTAATCAGTAGAAGAAATATGACAATTATTCTACTTAGAAAAACTTTAAACCACTGAGCTCTGAGATGGTCTTTTTAAGTGTGACACAGATTTTTAAGTAAAACTGAGTAGGGACCCTCCTCTTTGACCTTCTCTCTGCTTGTGCATGTGAAGGAGCGAGGCTGGAGGAACATAAGGAAAGACTATTGATATTCAAACAGACAGAAGGAGGGAGAAGAGCTGCACAGAGACGGAAAGGAGAGGACGCTGAGAGAAAAGGATGCTCTGGCTCTGGCTCCCGGCTCATACATTAACATGCTAATCCTGCCTTTTTGTCTCTCTTTATAATTCATTGCATTTTGTACTTCTCTCTATTCTCTTTTTGGTGCACTTTGTCTCGCTCTCCGCTGCTTCAGAACTGTCATGGGCTCCCACCACTTGAGTCCCCCAGGCGAAGGGATTCCAACTCTAATTTTGTGGTATTTCAGATGATTAGGCTCAGAAATGGAGCAGGAGTGCACAGAGTTTGGTTCAATTAGAGGCATTCTCAGCAGAGCTTTATCGGACTGATTAGATGATCCACCTTCAGCACACCGCCACATGAGCGCCAACCAGCTGTTGTTTATTTGCGAGGATTGACTTGTGTTTGTGCTTTTAACGCTCAGTCTCTCTGTGTGCAAATGTATAAGTGTAATTGTGATTGTGCATGTGTGCCAGAGGTTGGATAAGCCCTAAGGAAGTGAGTTGTTTTCAATCAGCTCTGTAGTTACCAGCTGTGCCCTCACATTCCCCCGAGTGGCACTGCCTAGGTACACACAGAACTAATGCATACTATTCAACCTTGGCCAACAAATTCACTCTTTCTTCTTTTCTCCTTGTCCCCCTTTCTCTGCAGACATTAATCATCACCTGCTCCATCTCTGCATGTGACTCCTCTGTGTGGACTGGAACACTGCTCCCCTTAGTTTGTTTCCATGTTTGTTCCCCAATACCTGGTGCCTCTTCTCTTCGTACCTGCCATGGTGACATGAGACATCAGTGAGTGGCTTCAGACAATCCCCGGGGGTGCATCTAACAGCAGACTGCAGAGACCTCCTCATACCAGAGTTGGCGTGATCATGACAGTGGCGGTTCGATTCCGGCGGCACCTGCGCAGGCTGCTCCTCCTGCTGGCCTCTTGCTGTCTGCTCTCCCTGCTCCTGTCTGCCTACTTCCTCTTCACTAACTCCACTCCCTCCATGCAGCTGGGCCAGTCCGCCGAGCCCGCCTGCTCACAGCCGTTGTCTATGTCGTCTCCGTACCGTCAGTTGCCCTACCCTTACCCCCCCAATCCCCCTCACACTCACGTGCACACGGACCCTGTGGTGCTGGTCCTGGTGGAGTCCCAGTACTCCCAGCTGGGCCAGGACATTGTGGCTATACTGGAGTCAGCACATTTCCAGTTCCGCATGGAGATAGCTTCAGGGAAAGGTGACCTTCCTCCGCTGACAGAGAAAGGCCGTGGACGATATTCACTTATTATTTATGAGAATCTCCTAAAGTACGCTCACGCGGACACATGGAACAGACAGTTGTTGCACCAGTACTGCACCGAGTACAGAGTGGGCATTATAGGTTTTTACCGCTCCACTGAAAACTCGCCTCCTTTACTCAAACTGCGAGGCCTCCCACTGGTACTGAAGACCAACCAGGCTCTAATGGACTGCTGTGTTGTGTCTAGTTCTCCTCTGCTTCACCTCACTAAGCCAGGCTCGGACAGAGGGCCCCTACCAGGAGAGGACTGGACCTCCTTCTACTCCAATCACTCCACTTACCAGGCCGTGCTGCATGCTCGGGGCAGAGACGGGGCACCTGGGGCGGGCAGTGGAGACAATCCAGCGCCTGGCTTCAGCGCCGGACTGCAGGCCACAGTTGTGCAGGACATGGGCCTTTATGATGGGGTCAGGAGGGTGCTATTCGGCCAGGGGCTTGGATACTGGCTGCACAAACTCATCTTGGTGGATGCCATCTCCTACCTCACAGACAGGAAGCTGTCTCTAGGCCTGGACCGACACATTCTGGTGGATATAGACGACATCTTTGTGGGGAAAGAGGGAACACGCATGAATGCCAAGGATGTGAAGGTAATGTTGCAAAGAGGGATATAATAACACTTTTTACACTGCTTCTTGAGATTGCATTACACATTTGCTTGCAGTTGCTCAAAAAGAATACATTTTTGGGGTATAATATTTTGATTACACTTTTTGTCCGTACATAAATTCCGAGCATTTTAGTCGCTATTATTGCTTGGTCTTATTTTAAAATATACCTCATGTGTTTCAGACTGTTATAGTAGCTTGAGTAAATATACAGTGCAGCGGGTTAAATATGAGAATATGCTATGAGAATGTTCCACACTAGGCAATTCAGATTTAGATTATCCATCCATCAGACCGGTCACGATAACACATTTTGTGCACAAAACTATTCTAAATCTACAATATTGTTCAAAATCACAAGCTGCCATGAATAAATAGCAGAATGAAATACTTTAGTAGTTAGTTTGCTTCTGTAATGAGTCATAAAAGTGATTAAATCAACTTTCTACTGCTCAAATCTTATAAAATAGCCAAAAAATAACCAAAAACTTCCCAGTAGTGAAAAGAAAAGGGGCACACACTAAATACTGACCCTGAAAATATATTGTTCCACGTGTAATATGTTGAACGATGACTCAGTATAGTAATTATTGTAACAGGCCCACTTGAGAAACTATAGAAGTTTTCATCATAGACTTTTAGAGGAAGTGAACATGCGCAGGAGTGTTGAAGTGTATGTTGTGACCAAGAGCTTGAGTTTGGAATATATGTTGGACCACAGCGCGGGAGTATTTATCTCAACTGGAGGTTTTAAGCAGAAGTAAAGAGGCCATTTAGGGGAACAAAGAGGTGAGTGAAAGAGACAAAGCGGAGGGCTGAGGCAGAGAGAGAGGGAGTGAATGAAGCAGTGAAAAGATGAATGGCACTTACTCCTCTTTTCCCACGTTCCTCCTCTTAAAGGAACTAAAGGAGAGTCAGCCATGCAGCCCGCCTCTCAACACTGCTATTGTCTGAGCACACACGCTTGCCTGAGCGTGCACACACCTCCTTCACTACATGTATACATACAATCATAGAGTATTTGCATAGAAACACTGTATTGTACTTTCTAAAGGAGAGGATGGGGGTTTTGTGGAGACCTGCAAACACGAGTAATGCTCAGTTGGGTTTTTGCAGATGAACTCTACAAACTTTTTTTGCGATCTGCATAGGGGGTGATATGATGAGATATATAGTCCACTAGACGATTCAAGACAGAATATTAGGTCAAGAAGAACAACACATATTTTGTTCATATTTTTTTAATTGCACTTTTAACGTACACATTATTTTAGCAGAAAGCATTCAAAATTCCAAATTGTTCTTATGATTATGGCACTCTTCTGCTGTATAATACTGTATCACTTTATTCATATTTGCTGCAAGATACATTTCATAAAATAATTCTCTAGAGGCACAAAACTATGTAAGAAATTATGACACATGTTCTAGTAGTTTAGTAGTTTTAGTTGCACTGCCGTAGTCATAGATCAGGGGTGTCAAACTCATTCACAGAGGGACGAAATTAATAACTGGGTCTAAGTCGTGGGCCAAACTAAATATTTATTGAAACATTTTAACAACATCTGCATGTTTTCTCTTCTTTCGAGATATGTAATGTTAAACCTTTTCTTACTAAAATAAATGTTTAATAATGATTTTGCTTAAACATTGAATCTAGAACAACCATAAAATAAAATAATAACACAATTTAAATAAATAATGTCTCTATAGTCTATCTGTATTCGGCGGGCCAGCTCTAATACATATTAGATATGATCTCGCAGGCCAAATATAATTATATCGAGGGTCAAATTTAGCCCCCGGACCTGAGTTTGTCATGTCTGTCATAGGGCATCTCTTAAAACTTGGCGATTGCTTTGTCTCTTGTCCTTTTTGACATCACTGTAGGTTCAGCCGTTCCTCCCAACCTCAAAAAAAAAAAAAAGTTATATTACACAAAATTGTCTCTTGTGAGCTTTAAGCCATGTTTGCATATCGTTACCTCCTCAAAAACATTCATTCATACTTGTTTTTTTAGGAACCTTTTATTATTAGTCTGTCTGTCATCTCCAAAGCTCAAAGTGATCTATTCCACCTTATGATGTCACGTAGTGGTAGTGTTCAAGCTAACAGCTACCTTTTACCTTTAGTTCAGTGGTCCAAATGATTCCCGTGAAGGTGTACTTAGTTTAAAAACATAGAGTTTCAGTTTGAGAGAAGAACTTATGTGTTAAACTTGTGTGAATGAAACAAAACACAACTCCGGGTTTGTTTGTGATGAGGAACATAGATCGGAAAATTGCGTAATATGGACGCTTTAATGAGTCCGTTTTCCATCCGTGTGAATAGCAATCCTTGTCCTGGCCGTTCTGATTCCTTCCCTAAGCCCTGTACTTCCTAAACTGCCAGAACCCTTGAAGCAAGCAAACCGGTGAATTTCAATGGCGTATACGTTACATTTTTCCATGCCCATTAGTACTGAATATAGATTGTTTATGTCACAATTTCTATGAGTCAACGCAGGACAACATTCAATTGGGTGTCATTTTACTGTAGGCATAGCAATGATAAGCTCCGAATGTGTAAAACTGTAACACACCACACACCAGTCACCCTAAATAACCACAATACGTATAAATTGTAAAGGAATAACTGACAGTCCGTCTCTGGCCCATCAGCACGGAGGATAGAAATAGCTCCCCTCCCTGTCTGTGCATGTGTGACGGGGATGTCAGGAGCGCCAGCTAAAGGTATCTGCCTGTTTCATCTCCGGGTAGGCCTACTGTATACGCGCGTAGGTGTTTTCTCAATCACTCCTTTAAATTAGAATGTCACTTTTCAGTCCGCGCGCTGACAGCTATCCTATCACAGGCTGAAGGGAAAGCCAAGCCACCTGTCCATGCCTCAGACCCACAGAAGAGATGAGAGGAGCACGGAAAGGGGCTGAGAAAACAGGAATGCAGTGGGTGGCAGCCGAGTGGAGACGAAGCCCACACTGTAAAAAAGCTAAATCTAGGCGAGTTAAAATGGCTTAAAGGTGCGTTGTGTAACTTCTGGGGGAGGGTCAGTCAAATTTTCTCCATTGCTTTGTCTAAAATGTCTCACAGTATAGATTAAACCTTTCTATACAGCACTACGCTACATACAGTTCAGATCTGTGGAGATTCGCGCCTATTCACAGAAGGAATTACAGTATTTTTCGGACTATAAGTCACTTCATGGTTCACGTGGTCCTGCGATTTTTACGCCGGTGCGACTTTTCACACTGACAGCCATGAGAGGGCGCTCTAGGCTTGTGTGCTCCTGTACCACTGTCACTTCACTCTACTGCACATGTCGGCTGCAGAAGAAAGAGAAAGAGCCACTGTCCTGTCTGTATCATGTCAGTCGATCGCAACATTACTTCTGTATCACTGACAATTTAAAATTTAAACACACCTAAAGACAACCGAAACTATCCTGTTGGGATTCAGAAAGGCCAGAATAATTCTAACTGGAACTGATGCTGAGTCTGTTGACAGCAAGGCAGAAGAAGAAGCAGCACTCCATTTACCTCTGGAGATCGCCATTTAGTGATCTGGAGTGAGATTGAGAGTTTGGTAAACTAGTTCTGTTCTGTTGTCTGAAGAACTGTTCATATGTGACGTTAACAGCCTATTGTTTTCTGTTCTATTGCTTTTACTATGACTTGCATTTTAAGATGAAATGTTGGTTCATGGTCTCTGATTTTATAAAATAAATTTCCCCAAAAAGTGTGACTTATAGTCTGGTGCGACTTATATATGTTTTTTTTTTCTTCATTATGCGTTTTTTGGCTGCGGCGACTTATCCTCCGGAGCAACTTATAGTCTGAAAAATACGGCATTGCATTTCTGAGTGATAGAAGCACATGCAATGAATAAATGTGAGATGAACATGCTTAAAGTCACACCATGGCATTTTCCAGGCAATGCAATAACATCTCCATGGAAGCAAGCAGGTAGCAGACTATCAACCAGAAAAGTTGCGCAGTGTGGCCTTAAATTAAGAATATTTTACTTTATTTGAGTAAATTCACTTGACAAGTTAATATAGTTTATATATTCATGTCTGAAAAAGGGCTTGGGAGCTTTAAAGATCTGCAGTGCGGATCTCTTTCCTTTTTTTGCACTGTTTTTGTCTTTGGACCCAGCACGCTGTCGCAATTTTTGTTGGATGTGCATGTCTCTATCTGCAAGTAAATATATCTACCAATGTGTTCAAGCAACTTTGGATTGTTTTTCTTATTTTAAGAGCAAAGAGTTGTTGTTTTTCTTGTCTTAAATGTAGCAAGATGTATTTCCATATTTTAAGTACAAAAAGTCTTGTTCCACTGGTAGATCATTTTAGTTGTCAATTGAAATTTACTCACATCATGAAAAAAGTGTCTTAATTTACTTGGCTAGACTTGAGTTTTTGCAGTGCACCACCCTGGAATATAAAAAGGGTGCTTGAATCCGAAAGGGATAAAAGAGTGCACGTTCACGCACTGTCACACCGCGATGGCACATGCATACACACAAACACGCACACAACCACACACAGCCAACCAGCTTTCTCTATTTGGACTTTTCATTTTTAAGTCCGCTTGAGTCTTCTGCTTTGTCACATTAATATACATGAGGATGAAGCGGTGCACTAACACAGGGACAGCAAAGATGGAGGAAGGGATAAAGGAAAAGGCCAGAGAGACCCGAGACAGGCTAATGCCATTTGTAACACCCCTTTTGCATGTTCGTCTCCCCTTCAGGACAGTTGGCAGTCGCAGAAAGTAACTGGTGGAGAGGAGGACGCCCAGGGTAACAGCGAGCTACAAAGTTTGCGATTTGAAAAGCAACAAAACGCTGCGGGGAGATGATGGTGCCGGGGGAATGTTGTGATTAGTTGCCATATTTGTAGCCTCCCGAGATGCTCCCGGTGTCGTTGTCAGATTAGAACTTGAACCTAGACTGTATGCAAATGGATGTACATAAATAGTCACA